GGATGACTTGAAGCTAATAGGTCTTCTGAGTACATGGTTAGCGGCACCAAAAGCAAGAAACACTTTTGTTTACAAGTATTCTGACGTCAAGATATTGAAATACTTGCCGACATAAAATAAATAAAAGCTGTGAACAGTAATAAACAAAAATGTAAATACAAAAAATTTTGTTGATATTCGTGCCGGCAATCACGGAATCAAAAGACTTATCAGATTCAAACATTTATTTTTCTTTAACAGCAAATTCCGGCGAGGGGAAATTTATGACAACAGATTTCGTCATTAACACAGTCAGATTATAAGTTATGATGAACGCCAGTTTAGATATCAATAGAGCGTCTACAGTAATGCCTTGGTCAAAATTGTGACTTTCGTGCTAGCGATGACATGCGCTCTTTAATGGCATGTTTCACAGTTGCAGAGTAGTGTTCTTTTCATGCACTAGCGAAAGCCACAACACGTTCTTCCAGGCGAGTTTTCATCAATATTTAGTGAGCGCTGCAGCGTCAACAATTCCTGTGATACACAGACAAGTTCTTGCCGGTTTTAAATGTTTCTTGTTTATTCAGAATCGATCAATATGTGAAATGCATAGTGTTTTCTTCACTATATACCTTGGATGGGACATGATTGTAGTTAATGTTTAGTAAATGATTGAACAGAAGTGTCATCATAACCATTCTTAATGAAAAATGCTTGCCAGGTTAGATATATGTTGAAAACAGTTATTAACGGAAGTTTTTACAAATTTCTGTTTTGATAAAACCAGATTTTAACCAGTTTTCAACCTTCATTAGTCAATTAATGAAATTCACTTACGTTTCTTTACATTTATAAGTAAAGGTTAGGAATCCGATGGTATGCCAATATTAATTATGGTCAACAAGCTTGGTCTTGACAGGAACTAATGGGATGATGCCTTAATCTTAGAAGAAAGACACTTGAACCACAAATTTGGATGACAGGACCCAGAGCATTTATGCACGAGCATTTATGCATTTTAACTACGAGCATTTATGCACGAAAAGACAACGGGAAGCATTTCATCGGACAACTTACAAACAAACAACAACAAAAAACGATTTTACAAAATAACTGTAGTATATAAAGCGTGATTTATCATAAAATCAGTAAGCAAATAATGTTAAATAAAAACCTTTTACAGCAGCACTTACGAGTGAGAATAAAATCCTCGTGGGTTGCCATGATGTTAGCTTGCAGACCAGGAAATATTGCCAAGGTAACGAAAAAGATCAAGAAAATATTGAAAAGTTGCACCCAAACCTAAAATGTAGTTAAACTGGTCAAAAATTCGTTAAAACCATAAATATTATATCAATGACGTTGTAACAGAAAACTGAAAATAACATAAGACACGACTTATTTATGCACAACGCAAGCAATTTGGTCAGATGGATAACTGACCAGTAGCGACGTTCGGCCCGTGTCTCACTGGGCCTTGCCTTCCTAGACGTAAAAAATTGGGTTAGTTTTAGAAGTCCTTTTTGTAATTCACAGCGATTCACGAAGATGCTGAAGATGAAGATGAAAGGGATCGATATGCCAGTACCAGTCAATCATCTGACTGAGTAAATTATCTGCGCTGTGGATAAATAGATCCTGTTTTACGCTGCTTTCGTCATTACAATCAACGAATACTTCTATCTTCGGATATAACAGACACTGATGATCACTGTGCAAATGTATATCGTGAATAATGTGATCTATCTTCTCAGCTATAGTCTACCATCGAAAATTATCCTAATCAAGCGATCGATTAGCAATCCGTCAAGCAACTACTTCAGCAACAAATGAGCGTAGTATACGGCA